GATCCCTGATCAAACCCAACCATATTGTGACATCAACCGCCCTCTTTTCCCGGTCCGTGACATCGCCAAACTCTCCAAAAGCCATCACTCTCCTTTACGTACTCTCGGGCTTCACCGTTATACATTAGATAGACACTCTTATCCCAAGAACGTGCAGTTAGCAACGCCTTCCAACGAGGGCCCGTTTCCGCGACCACCACGCGCGAAGACCTCACAAAAGGGCCTTCACCAGATCTAGAAATAGTCACTCATGTAAGTATCAAATGCAAAGCAACCACAACGCTCGAAGACACCCTCCGCCATTGATGGAATCAAATATTCCCCAAAGACCCCACCTCGTCTCATCCCCATCCACACAAATCCCCGCTCTCCCATGATTCCATCAAAACCCACAGCGGTCATTGAAACGCGAATTGCCTCGTCGCTTCACGCCAAGGTCTCTCTCTTCTCACTCATTCGCGTAAAACAAGAAAGGAACAAAAGAATGTGTTATCATGTACTGCCCTGCTCTGCCAAACTTCGGCTTCGTCGGAGCTATAGAACTTAGAACTACTAAAAATATACAGAGAATGGCAGCCATCAAGGCAAAACATATAGCCTTATCCTCGCATCAACAACCTCCAGGTTCCAATCATCATTAGGCCGAGAGTCATAAAACACGCACGCCCCCTACGTGCTAGATAAATGTGAAGGTCAAAAAAGAAAGAACAGTTCGTTTGTGTCATCAATCGCTTTCATCCAATGCAAGGAGAAAAAAAAAAAAAAGGACAAGAAACCCCCAAAAGAAAGACGGGGTAGGAGAGAGAAAGGAGAGAGAAAAACGGAAAACGAAAAAAAAAAAAAACATCAAATCATCCATTGTAACCGCCCGTGGTATCTTTCCATTAATGCGCGCCTACCCCCCTTGTAGTAATGGTAATAGTAAAAAAAAGAGGGAAAAAAAAAGACACAAGAAAAAACCTCTCTCAGTCCTGCCCCCTTCCTCGTGTCCAGTGCAATTCAGACATCATCTCAGGCTTGGCCTACGATCTCCAACTCCCCATCGTCCGGGTTATAAGCAACTCTCCCTTCCATCACCGCCACACGCATCTCCGGATTCAATACCTCCAGCTCCCCGGTGCGCGGGTCCCACTGCCAGCCCTCCCTCATCCACATCCAACGCAGGTATGCCCTTAGCTCCTTATCCTGTGGGAGAACACGCATCCACTCAGGTTGAAACTCAGGTTCCCTCCCCGTACCTTGCCAGTCCTCGGCCTTGCCCAGCAGCTCATCTCTACAAAAGATGCGCCAGCTGTCAATGGCGTACGGGCCCTGTGTCAAGTGACCAATCTCCCAAGCGTCCCCATCATCGCCGCCGCCCGTCCAAGTCCCTGCCCCTGCCCCTGGTCCTCCCGTCGCTAGTTCGCCCTTGAGCTCAGATGCCGCCGGTGACGGATCTTCTCTGCCCGTCCATTGTCTCAAATCCGCGCCCGGGCTTGCTAGCAACGACACGTCATTCGCATCTGCACCTGCCACCCCCTCCACCGCGTCGACGTTTTGACCAGAATAATTCCTTACCCTAAACCTCACATCAGCTCTCGGCGGCTGCCTAATCCACCCTTGCGCGTACCGTCGGATGGCAGCCACACGAACCGACGCGAGACCCAGATGTCGAATCATGTCCGTCAGCTCAGCGACGTTACCATCGTCGGCGAGCATCTCCGGTGTCGGGAACCGCTGCATGACTCGGTGAAAGGCGGGGATGGCGGCAGTGCCCTTCGTTTTGACGAGGAAGGTGACGGCGATGAGGAGCCTAAATGGGTCACGAGCCAGCTGTTCCTGAATAAGGCCAAAGGACGTTGCTGTCAGCGGTGGAAATGGGATGCACGAAACTGTGCCCCGCCGAGGCCGTCGAGCCAAAGGCTGTGATGATTGCGCACGTTGTTTAGCATTCGTCTCGACGAAGTAAGGTGAGCGCGAGCTCCTAGACGGTTGTTGCCTCAGCGTACCTTGGTGGAAATTAATCCCAAAATTCCCGTCATCCATTTGGCCGTCCTCATCGTCGTCATCCTGCCTGTCGTGGCGGTAAGCATCGTGGTCGTGGAGTAACGCGAGGTTGGGGTCAATCATATTCGCTGGTACCGCCGTGTAGTCGCCGCCCATCTCAGAATACTGGTGAAGAAAGCTCTCCTGCTCGTGCTCATCCTCCTCGTCCCCATCGTGCCACGCCGTTAGGTTCGGGTCAATCATCATCGGCGAAACGTCATCGTGATCGAGGCCGGGCGTATGAGTCCCGCTATTAGCGCTGTGGTGGGTGCTGGCGGCGGTATTGTTGTTCGTGGGGTTGCTAGGCCTGTGGGTAGGGGGGTTACTCCTATTTTGGTTATGGCTATGATAAACTCCGGCGTCCGGCGCTCCGTGGAATGGAGGGCTGGCGCGCGCTGGGATATGTTGATGAGAGTAGTCCGCCGAAGTCACTATAGGGGCGGAGATAGAGGTAGAAACTGGGATTGGTGTGCTCATGGTTTGGGTGATTCCATTGGGCACTCCGTTTGTAGGATGCGCCGGGTTACCACCACCCCAGAATTGTGATGTTAGTGTGGTTGCTGTTGTTGTAGTCGTTGACGTGGTTGTTGTCGCCTTCCTAGGCGCTGGTTGCTGCCAGGTAGCTTGAGGATGCGTTGATCGAGTAGGACCGCTGGTTGCAGCTACGGGAGTACCTCGTCCTTGTTGAGTCGACTTGAGTAGTGACCGCGCAAGAATACCAAGAAGAGCATCCGTCACTGCCCAGGGGCGCGTGGGGTCATACGCTTGACCTTGAGGAGGATCCATCTAGTGTCGATGGGTTGGGATGTAGAGTAAAGAAGAGCAAAGGGAGAGAAAAAGGAAAAGGTGACTTGAGGTTCAAGAGGATGGAATCGATGTTCCAAGAGTTCCAAGTGCAGAGATGTCTCACTCAGAAAGAGTCCCGGGCGAGTTAGAAAGTGACCCAACTCAGGACGTAGTAACGCGACGGGACGTAGTAGTGTCAGTGCTGGTGCAAAGTTGACCGACAGAACGCGACGCGGCTCATCGCTTGTGAGATCTACGGGGTTTCTGATAAAGTTAGAACGATGAGGATGAAGTATATGCAGTGCCAGGATTAGAGTCCTTCTTCTTTTGATAGGTAGGGATGGGCAAAATGAGAAAGCTTGATGAAACAGACGCGTTGAAGGTGTTTGCGCCAGTGAGTGTGTAGACTGGGAAATGGCCAAGGTTGTGATGAGAACTGGAGGAAGCGGTTGCCGGGACATTTCTCTCATGAATCATATCGTCAACAGAGGCTCCAAGTCGCTCCTGCTCCATGTTGGTGGAGCATCCCCAGCACTCATCACCCTCGACCTTGGAGATTTCCCCGATCACCACAACCTCACTCACTTGTCCCGATGGATCCACCCGCGCCTTCCATTCCTGACTCTCATTCAACGTCATTCCTTCTCATTTTGACACGCGTCCCGTGACCAAAGACTTCAAGCATTCAAAGCCTTGCGTATCGCCGCCGCCGATCTCGCTTTCATCCTTGCCCAAGCTGGCGCCACGAAAATAGCGCGACCTGGTCGCATTTGACGCTCTCCGGGGAAGGAAGGACAAAATAAAAACGACAGATGAAATCGCCCACCAACATACCTTTTTTTGAATAAATGCCTTTAAGCTCTACGCCCAGGTCCGCATCCTAGACGGGACCTTTTCCACGCAATAAGAGGCTGTCTTTTGGGCTTTCGCGTTAGGCGTGGCGTGTCCTCGCGGGAGCCGCCATCGGGATATCTTAGGGGAAATTAACGAGTGAGGATGATGGGAGATTTGAGGAGGTTGGTCGACTCGTCGGGCGAGAGCAGAGAGACAAAACCGCCGATAATCTGCCAACCTTGCGTGCAAAATGAATCAGAAAACTCGGCATCCAGACCTAGGACCGTCACAGAATCGCCATCATGGCTGCAATCCGACACAACTCGAGCGACATAGGGGGTAATTTGGACCTTTATTATGTGATGCCGAAATGGGAAGCATGTTCGAGAAGCTGGGGGGAACCTTATAAGCGGGTATATCACGTGTTCATCGTACCACGCTAAACCATTTTAAGAAGAACACCAGAACACCAAACTCGCTTTCAAATTGGTTTTGGGGGGGACCAGGTGACAGGAGGGGAATTGGCAGGTGGCAGCTCGTCGCCCGGCTTGATAGGCTGGAGAAGGTTGTTCCTTTCTCCGGTGAGCGGTTCATCGGCATGGTGGGCCAAGGTCAAGGAAAGTGGTCGGCGTCCAAGTCTCTTCGTGCGCTCCGTACTCTTCGTACTCTTCGTACGTACTCCTCGTACTTGGTACTTTCTACGTAGTGAGGACGTGAGCCCATCGTCAGTCAAAGGAGCACAATTGCGCGACGAAAAGAACAATGAAAGCCGACCGATGTCATCACCCCATACAGTGTAAATCCATGCTCGGGGCTCGGAAGGAGTTTCCTGCCTTGGGTCACACCAAAAGGCTGACGGTACGATTTACTATACTTCTTTCATTTAGCGCAATCAGGTCCTTATCTAGTGTCTGCTAACAGAATTGTATGGCTCTCTCTGGGATGTCTGTTATGGAATTGTGCCCATGTTCCTGTCCCCGCAAGTCCCCCATCCACTCACCCCACTGTCGTACACCAAACACAATCACAATTGGCAATTGCGCATTTGCCTGCCTGCCCAGCTCCTTCCAAGTGGCCCTCCCCATACTGTGTGTCCACTGTCCAGGAGTCCAGGAGTCGCAGTGGCAGGATCAATCGGCCTTGGTAGTAATATTCTCCACCCTCCCACGTTGCCTCTGCCTTCCTGTCGCTCCGTCTCTATCTCCGCCTAGAACATTTCATTCCTCTTCCTTCACTTTACCCATCCCGGATCTCCGAATCTCCCACAATCCTAATTCAACGCCCACCGCGCGCCGAACGCCCCATCGTCTGCGGTTTTTAGAAAAACAACTTCGACATATCCCATCAGTCGAGAGATGAGTAGTCGCGGCGGTAAACTCGCCCCAGAAGTGAACCGGTATGTGTCGTGGCCGTTGCAGTCATTCAGCGCGTGTTGAGGGACCCTCTTTAGCGGGCTCGCTGTTCCGATACGCCGAATCTTCCTACGATCAAGCGTCAGATTCCATCAATGCCAAGCGAATCGCCCGCCCTCGTCATCACGATGTTGTCTTTGTTTTCTTGGTCGAGTTGAGGGCTAACTATGGATGATTTTTTTTTATAGAGCTCTGTTCGTGAAGAACTTGAGGTAGCCTTGCCCCCTTTCCCTCCAACCAAGCCTTCGCACTCGATCACCGATCACGATCTTCGACAACTGCCCCCTGCCTTGACTCGAATCCAGTCTAACGCTTTGCAATGTAGCTACAACGTAACTCCCGAAGAGCTATTCGATCTCTTTGGCAAATTTGGCCCGATTCGGTACGCATGAATGCCCTATACTCGTTCGATTAGCGCTTTGAATCGCCGTTTACCCTTCGAAGATGGTCTTATGACTGACTCCGTTTTTTTTTCTACCATCTAGGCAAGTCCGACAGGGCATTGCCAACAACACCAAGGGCACTGCCTTCGTTGTCTATGAAGACGTAATGGATGCAAAGCAGGCCTGCGACAAGCTAAACGGCTTCAATTTCCAGAACCGATACCTTGTTGGTATGTGACGTGGCACTCCCCCGCAAAGCCAATCCCTCTCCCCATTCTCAACTAGGCCATCGCCGCCAACTCGGGCGTCTTCGATGAACGATTCTCACGGGACGCTCTTGAACTCGAACTGGCCTTGCGTTGATTATCTCTCAACCTTCTTTTTTTTTCCTTTTTTCCCTCTGTCTCTCTCTCTTTTTCTTCGTCCCACTAACGGTTTCCACAGTATTATACCATCAGCCCGAAAAGATGCTCAAGTCAAGAGAAGACATCGAGGCCCGCCGCGAATCTTTAGCTCAGCTCAAAAAGCAGCACGGTATCGATTGACAATTAGACGGGTCTGCGGACCGGCGCCGCGGCAATAAATCGACCGCAGCCCCGTCTACATCGTCTTCTTCACGTTCCAGTGAAAAGAGTCCTAGGGATCCGAAGACGATCCTTCGAAAGGACAAGCCGGTGACCGGCGGGCACGCACGTCGCCCCGTCGTGCGCTTCGCTGACAGCCTACGAGGTGGGCTTCAGACCTGTGCATGACGAGACAGCAAACCGCCATGGTGATGATACATCATGGATGGGCCTTGTTAACCCTTTGTTTCGAAACCCCGTTCTCGGTCTCTTAGCGAAACTTTGTTGTTGCCGCACGATATCGACATCTCTCTCCACTCTTTGGGTTAGGAGGGGTTTTGGACTTGGATGGACAGGGTTGCTGTCGCACATCTTTTCCTGGGGACCTCAAATAGGTCATCCTCGTCAGAGATGACGAACATTTTTTTTTCCCCAAACTCTTCTTCCTGTTTGTTCATTTGGCCTGGTTCTTATTCTTTTTTTCTTCTCATGATTACTGTTGTTACTATTATTTCTCTATTCGCAGTCTCATAAAACCTATTATTTTCTCTCTCTACAGTCACCAAAAACGAGACAGCAACGATCTTGTACGAAAGGCGAAAGTTGTTCATGAACTAGGTTATCACGGGTTTTTCAAGGGGAAGGGAACAGGAGGTTGTGTTGACAATTAGGAAACAAAGGGAGTATGAGGGATTCGGGAAGATTGGCATGTTTCCGCTTGCGAGATTGATCCTGCTGATGGGCTGTGGTCGTGTGCTTGCGTTTATTGCTAGTTTTTTTTGCGTGTGTGTTTTAAGCCGTTCTGTGTTTTCTTCTCCATTCAACAGATTGCACCCTCCTCATTTCGCTCTCTTGAAGAGCACTGCAGGACTGTAGGTTATCGTAGACGTGATCCACTCTTGTCGACCTTTGTGAGTTCTTGGCATCTGAGAGAAACTTGAAAACCAGGCTTGTGGTCAACAACTCACAAACACGTTGAGCTCGCCCTACGTATATGGGTGGTTGCTTGCAGTGTAACAATGTCTTGCCTGCCTTCTTCACCCCCCAGGTTGACTCTCCAATCATCCTTCTCCGCGGAGGATCTCCAGTCTTGTTCTCGCATGGATGCCCCGCGTTGCGTTTCCTGTGTTGAATAACACTGGTTGAACTTTTTGTTTCCCTTTTGCAAGGTTATGATTGTGCTAGTGGATATGTGACGGATGGCATTAGGATATTTCGGAATCTGTACTATGGATTTTCATGCCGACGCTTCAACTTTTCTCAAGGCTGGACGTGTTACCTGAGATCACTCGCAAAGTAGAGCTGTGCCGTAGAAACATCGATATCGCTCCGTCTGAACAGCACCAAACACAATCGCAGCAAAGCCCACCCATGAACAGGACCTGAAAACACACCCAAACGATAGACAATAAAGAAGAAGAAGAAAAGCATCAAACATGCATAGTTGGTCTCCCCATTCCTCATCGTATACTTTTGCTTGCCGTTCCAGGTCTCGTAGCCACTGGGAGGCACATCAATGATATATAGATTTACACAAAAAAAGAACTCCCAAAAAGATAGTAAAAAAAATATTGGTTGTATTCCCATCCATTCATCCATCCTCACACATAATTCGCTTCCCTCCTCTCCGAAAGCCCTCTTCAACATACCCTTCGAAACCCAATCAAGATACGCCAATCTTTCGCCTCGAGCCACTAATCATCCTCCACATCACTATACAAGTGATTTCCCCCCCCCTACTTCCGCCTCGAGCCTCACTTTCCCCCCGTCTCTTTAATATACCTTCTTCTTCTCGTCAATGCTGAACTGACCGGGGCCGCTGTTGACGAGGAGGAGAAGACCGCCGACGATGGAGAGGATCTGGAAGAAGTCGTACTTGGCGAAGTCCTTGTGGGGGTGGAGCTCGCTCAACTAAAGCAACGCGCGCAAACCGTCAGCAATCCCGATCATGGCAGTGAAAAGGAGGGAGTTGGGGGTCGTGACTTCATAAGACGCCCGGGGGAAAAGGGAAAGAGGGACCAAAACTCACAGTCCAGAAGTTGTTGACAAGAACATTAAAGATGCTCAGAATAACAACCAAAAGCGTAGCGCTAAACTTAGCCTTGAACCCAACAACGACCATAATACAAGCGACAGCGCCCAAAAGCGAAACAAACACCCTCCAAAGCGACCACTGTCCCGAAAAGACGAAGCCAATAAAGAGGAAGATGAGGAGAACACGACCCGCAAGCTGGAAGTACATCCTCCTGTCCTTCTCGTCGAGCTGGGGGAGGCCCGCGAAGGCCTTGGTCTTGCGCACCCACGAGTCGGAGAGGACCATCATGAGGCCGCCGATGACGGAGAGGTTGCGGAGGAAGAAGTTAAGGTCGAAGATGAGTCCGTAGCCGAGGGCTTGGGTGACGACGACGCCCATGAGGCCGGCGACGGCGTAGTCGGAGTATTTGCGGGCGATGACGAGGGTGGAACAGACAGTCATGGCGATCATGTTTACGATGAGGAAGAGGTGGGTGATGCCGTTGGGAACTGTAGAAGGTTAGCAACAACCTCGCTTCTGTCCTCCATCCACATTTCGAAATACGTATATAGAGAGCGCTCTAGACAGCGCCTGAGCTAGGATGGCTGATGGACGGGTGTTATGGACGTACTGTGACGGAAATCATGGAGGTAGATGAGCTGGTCGTTCCATTGTGTGAAGATGCGGATGGTGTCCTCGATGAAGGTAACGACGATAAGGAAGCGGCCAATGGCGGGGAGATAGCTATTGGGCAATCAACGAGTTAGCAAAAGGTCAATAGCAAACCAGTCCCTCCAAGAGGAAAGAAAACAATCCCAAATGGAAGATCATGTCCGAATGCAGTCTGCCACCCAATCGAAAAAAAAAAAACCTGGCCACATCTACCGGCCGTAGAAAAGGTAGGGGCAAAACCCCCCTCTAAAACAGCTCGCGGGAATGCAAAACGTACGGTTTTATGGGCTCGCTAATCTTATCCAACAAATCCTCAATCTTGCTCGTCTGCTGCCTGATGGCATCAAGGGGATTCGAATCGTTCTGGGGACTGGAGGCGCCGAATTGAGGGCCGGCCGCGCCTAGACCGTAGGAAGGGCCTCGAGATGTCATGGCGAAAGGAGAAGTTCTGTCGTCGATAAAGGAGAAGAAAGAAATACAAAAATCAAGAGGTCAAAAAAAGACCGAGAAGAAGAAAATAATGTCGATTAAAGACGACTCGGGTCTAGAGTTGATTCCCGACTGGGGGTTTGCGGAGGGATTTGTTCTGGAAGGAGAGAAAGCTTTCAGGCCAGCTGCGTGGAGTGAGGTTGATCGGAGGGGGGTGTGGTCGATATTGGGACAGGTGTTATTTTCGAAGTGAGAGGGGGTGGGCCGAGACGTTTAAAAAAGACCTGCCGGAGCTATCCAAGGATGGGAGAGGCGAATCGACGGAACGCCGACTCAATGGGTGCAAAGAGACGGAAAAAGAGACAGAAGGAAAAGATGTCGTTAAGCAAGGAGAGTATAAGGAGGGTGAGAAGGGAGAAAATGAGGCTAGAGATCGAGATGGATGAGCAAAAGCCAGAAGGAAGCAGCGACGTCGTGGGAAGTTGGAAGGGTCTGGGCCTTGTTGCCTTTGAATCTCACAACTGGAATGGGCGACGCTAGCGGAGAGGATTTGACGGGGCGGATGGCTGGACTGATGCAGGGGTTTATTTTCTGCAACGACGGGTACATTCCCTGGTCGATGCTTCAGTCTCTTCGAGGGTTCAAGGCTTTCGAGTTGAGGCCAGACTGGAAGTTTGAATTGGTGAGCTTTGGGCAACGGGCCAATGACGGCGTTGGAATAGGATCAGAAGGAGCCCACATTTGCACCGAAAGGGTACATGCGTAGTAAGGAACAGACAAGTACCAAGGTACCTGGAGTACTGCTGACTGTATTGGGGCTTGTACGACTGGAGTGTACCTATCTGGCACTGAGCAATGTGTCCTTTCACAAGTCAGGTCCCGTGATGTCAAAAGGTATTGATCAAGTGATTGTTAGCAAAACTACATTCTGCACCACACAAAATGGCATGAGAGGCCAAGTGTCTTGAATATAGTGATACTCTCTAGCTTCGGTAGATTGACCTGCCGCTAATCATTAAGATCATCATCAGACTTTTCCAGGCGAAAGACAGTTACCCGGCTGAGCTTCTTGTACTCTGGTACTTGACCTGAACAAAGTAATAGTTTACTCCAATGAGCAAGTCGGCGATGAACTTCTCGAACTCAGGACAGCCACACTTCCACAGCCACCTGCCTTGACACCTCCAGCAACTGAGCCTCCATCATGTTTGATGGGTTCCACCCAGGACTGCAGACAACAGGGTACACGGGCACCAGCACAATCTCTGACACTCTCGACCTAGCGCACGACCGCAGCACGCTCGTCTGAACTGAAACACGCAAAGTTCCCGAGTTGCCCACAGCCGACCGGACCCTGACGCAAAATAAACTAACGGCACCTTGGCTCGGGTCATCTGCTCTTCCGGGGGAGGCCGAACGAGTTAAAATCTCGAATCCGGCTGTCCTTCCGTACCGGTATCTCCGGCCGTGGAATCTCTTGAGGAGCAGTATTTTGTAGCGAGACCTCTAAGCAGCTTGGACACCCCTGTCCGAAGCTTCTTTCCCTCGCAACAGGGCTAGCCTTAGTTTGGCAGCTAGAGCATCCGAGATCTTGCGCGACGCAAACGAGAGGGTTTGTGATGCTTCTGAGAGGATTTGTATCTGTTCTATGTAGGCCTCGAATATCTATATACATTTCTCGAGATATCGTGTATACCCAGCCATATCGCAACACCTACAGCCACGTATGTGCCATGTATGTACGTCTGTAACATATCCTCTTTTCTAGCTAAACGAGGAGACGAAAAAAATCATATCAATCAAAATGCCGTGCCCGAAACCTCCAGTAACAGCTTCCTTGTTTTTCACCATGTCTCGACTCTCCGAATCTTTTCGTTGATAGATTTGATCCCTATCTCCAAATCGTGCGGCCTGCTCGTAACATCGGCACGGCCTCCCGATCCGATCTCCTCGAGTTCGGTGTCGTCCTCATTCCCAAGGGGCCGGGAATCGTGGCCATGGCCATCCAAATCACCCATTTGCCACTTTCGTAAAGCCCTCTTCATTTCGTCCCAGGACCTCCAGGAATCTTGATCCACGTGTCAATTCCCATTTGTCCATCCGATTATTCGTTGTGTTATTGACGTACGTACCTTCCCTATGTCTTATTGTCACCCTAAAAAGCCAGAGGGTCCATTCAGTCAGAGTCGGCGCCCACGCGAAGACAGCCAAAACCTGTCCGAAGCCCCATTCGTCGTCCTCGTACCCGTCAACTGCGACCTCTCTTGTGAGCTGTCGCGCACGGAATATATGTATCAGGAAATCAATTTGTAACGCGGCTAAGGACGACTGAACGGAGAGAGCTGCCCACAGGATAAAAGGCCGAAATATCTGTAAAAGATATCCTGGAGTCCTCGCCGACACAAACAATAGGGATCCGGGTCGAGGCCTTAGCAAGCATAGAAATATGCATACACAAAGGAGGAGTATGAAGGGCACTACTAGACTTGCGATTAGAGTCCCTGTTGCTCTCTCCCGAACACCGTCCTTTAGGCGAGAATTGCGGAGGAAGGGCTCTTTGCAGACCAGCTGGGCTGCTTGGAGGCAGGTTGACTCGTAGACCGCAGAAGCCATGGAAAGAATAAACATGGAGAATAAGAGTGGAAATGGAGTAAACGGCGCGCATATCGGTCTGTGTTTGGGTAAGGAGGGTACTTCGAGGCCGTCATCAAATATGAGGAGGAACAGCTGGGAAATTGCTGTCGATACATTAAGCACTTGAAGGACAAAGACGCCTTGCATCACATTCACCTCGGACTGAGTGAGGGCTCTCCGGTGATATTGTATGAATAGCAACGAAACCGATGAGGCCGCCCAGAAGAAGCACTGGGCTGTTATATAGGATCGACACATCTTCTTGAAGGAACGAAGTCCTTCTTCTGACAAAAAGAGGGCGGAAATATTCGCCGGGATTACCAAGAGAGCGAGAGCTGTCTGTATGGAGTATGCGGTCACGGCCTTAACGGATGGTTAGCGTTGGCTCGGCGCAGGGAGTAAGGTGAAGAGATGTTCCTCAAACGCACCCCGATTCCTCCAAGATCTGGGTTTCCTGTGCCGAATGCGACGGTGCAGAGCTCGGGGCATTCCATGAACAGCTGCGTGTGGTTCGCCGCATCGTTGATGGCCGAGAACTCTTTGAAGGTCTCGCAGTCTAAGGTGGTGTTCATTTTTCTTCCCCTTCCCCCCTTTATTGCGGGATATCGAGCCACCTCAATTCAAATTATGGCAATGGCTCTCCCAAGGGCACAAAGGCAAAGAGGGTTGATACCAATTCTGCTTGCACATATAGGGATTGGAGATCAGGTATAGTTATTTCAGGAGACAGAAATAATTGAAACACAAGATGATGAAGTCTGTCAAGGAGTCAAACCTCCGGATACAGACGCATTTTCAGAGTTCTAACTCCCACTGCAGTGCTCAGGCACTCTCAGCATCAGGCTGTGAAGTGGCGCATCCATAATCTAAATCCATCCTGGTACCAGCCTGGAGAACCACACGTATCGCCAGTCAATGTTAACAAATGGCGTGGTAGGATTCTCTTGATTGCTGAGGAGAGACGAGCTGGGGGTGGTCAATGCATCAATCAGTTTCCCCGAAAGCTGACCGAGTTGCGCGACCGACGTTGAAGTTGCGGTGGCCGGTCTACACTACTAGGACGAAGCCCTCTCTCTTCGGAAGAGTTGAGTTATGTCGGGCCAGCACGAAACAGGGGATTCGGAAGAAAGCGGTCCAAAGGATGAAAGGAATGTCGAGTTATAAACACCCAAACCGCATGAAGAAGGGAAGCTGCAGAGAGCTCCGCCACATCGCGGCGACTTGAACCTAGACCAGGCTGGGTGAGCGCGAGAGCTGTCCGCCAATCTAGTTCGAAACTCGATCAAAAAAGTAAGAAAATGGTAGACCATTGTGATTTATGCAAAAGGAGTCGAGGAAAGAGAAGAAAGAGATGGGATAATAAAATTGAAAATAAAAATAAAAATAAAAATAAAATAAAAACAAAAAGCTCGCTCGGGGGTCGCTCCCAGGATCGAATCCTGGTTGCTTCCCGCGAGCTACGAAAACTGCAGTTTTCTAACCTTCTGAGCGCTCCAATGACCACTTGGCCACTGGTCGTAGTGTCGCCACTGCTTGAGCTACTCGGTTAGAAGTTCTTGCCAGATCCTCGTATATAAAGCATAAGCCGGGCCGGGAGTGTCAAGACGGAAGGAGCCCCCGGAGTTCCTTCCCCTAGATGATTCTCGTCTGTTCAGAATAGAATGTACATGGAACCATCGATCACTACTGAAACCAGTGTCAACGACTACTTGACTCGGAAACGCAACTGTTACGCCCCTATAAAGGTCTAGCTTAGAGCCTGCCTTCAAGAAGAAAGATCCGCAAACAGGTCGCTTCTTTTCTAGTCGCTGGTAACTGATTCCCCCACACCCTGACCAGTATCATCTCGGTAGGACCCTTTTCTCTAGAGAACGAAGATGAAATAAACCCAGGATCAGGGGGCTCATCTATATGAAGTTGAGAAGGTTAACGAGATTCAGAGTACATGCCCAGAGACCGTCCCTTGGACATCCTCATATATTCCATTAGAAAAGTAAAAAAGGAAATAAAGGCGAGAAACCGTCCCGAGAAACAACCCATTTCGCCAAATCCCAGACATGCTAAGCAAAAACAAACGATGTCGAATCTCTCACAGCCCAGCATCGACTCCCTCCCCAAAAAAAAAGTCTAGTGTGTAGGGGAAACCCAAAGGCCATCGGAACCGCAAAGCAGGCGTATATCGTCACTCACTCCCCTCCCTCTCTTTGTCTACTCTCCGTCTCCGTCTCCGTCTCCCTCATCACTAATGCCTCGCCTGAAACCCCCCCTCATTCCCCTGCTGCCACGAAAACCGATTCGTCCTATTCTCCTCCCCCGTCGTAGCCGGCAACTCCACCGGCGCCTCCCGCGACGGCGCCTCATAACTAACCTGCGTCGTCCCCGTAACATTCGGCACCACGAATCCCCCATACCCGGGACTTCCCATCTGGCCGTGCGCCAGCGGCGGACTCCCGTGTCCCTGCGGCGGGCTCCCCATCTGCACCTGCGACCACCTCTCGTTGCTCGTAGCCAAGCTCATGGGCGTAAGAGCCTTGTGTTCCATACCAGGCGAGAACGGACTAGAAGGCGGCACCGTCGACGCGCCGGTGTATCCGTTATTCTGCACAGACATGCTCTTCCGGTAGGCGCGTTCCATGCCGCCGTTGCGACCGCAGTAGTAGATGAGGCCGGCGGCGCCGAGGAGGACGGCTGCGCCGCCTATGGCTATGCCTGCTATGGCGCCGGAGGAGAGCCCGTGCGACTGTTGCTGGTTGGTGTCGTTGGGGGAGGTGTCGGGGGAGGATGTGGAGGTGGGGGTTGGGGAGGAGCCGGAGATGGTGGGTTTGTCGCCTTCGCTGGGCCAGTCCTGGCCGGGGATGAGTTCGAATTCGGCGGCTTCGACGTATTTGAGGTGGCCGGCGAGGGTTTGGTTTTCGTTCTGGGAGGCGGTTAGACGGCGGAACGGGAGAAGGATTTTGAGATTGTCCAAGGGAAAGAAAAAAAAAATAAATAAAAAATAAATAAAAAATAAAAAAATAAAATAAAAAATAAAAATAAAAAATAAAAAAAATAAAAATATAAACAATAACTTACAGGATTGATGACGCCTATCATGTGTTGGCTCATACAGGAACCGACGGCGCCGCAGTAGAAGAAGATGGGATCGGTATCGTTGACTTTGACGTGAAATACTGGATTCTGTAGATTGCCATGAGCTGTTAGCAAGTTGAAAGCAACAGGTAGATGTGTATACACCTCTGACTTGTTCAGGGTTGAGTCCACTTACATCTTCTGATATGCCGCTCATAATCTGAGGCTGGCTGTAAAATCCGACGCGATTCGCACCAACATATTCATAGGGAATACAGCCGTGTTCATAATCCGCTCGAATCACGGAGTGATCTGGAGGGTAGAACTTGAATTCTACAGGGCGCAAGTCACAAATAGATCAGCTTTGCTCCCCTCATATGAGTTCTCCAGCTGGAGTATCCTAGACTCAAAGGTTGTAGCAGAAATCGCATAAACTTACCCACTGTATCGCCGGGTTTCGCGTGGGTCTCGTTGGGCGTAAATTTGAATCCCGCCTGTGTAGCCGTCAGGTCAGTGGATTGCTTTCCAAGAAGGCATCACTGTGTGTTTTGATATCAATGATGTTTGAGCCTGAGGAACATCATCCACGTACCCATCCAACAAGAACTGTATGTGTCTGCGGCGCATCGCTCGTCGACGAAGGCGCGCTCGACACAGTCGCCGATTGAGCTATCGTTCCCGCGGCGAGGAGACCGAGCGTCGCGGCGACGTAGCGTAACATCTCCGGTCCGTTGGAAACACCAAACGAGAAAAAAAAAAAGAGGAACAAAAGAAAAGAGCAGATCGTTTTTGAGCTCGGGTTCTTGTAGGGCCTATGCTTCGATTTCCCTGGCGGCGATCCCTCCTGCTGGGTCGGGTAGGTGCTAGTAATAGAAGAGTATGAACAGGTCGAGCGCGTCTAAGTGTGTAAGTGAGGTTGAGAGAGCCGCAGATGATTTGATGAGCAAGGGAACAATTGAAAAAGATTCTGATCCGCGCCACTGATGAAAAGAGAATGTTTCCAATTCAAACTACAAAGTGTGGAACAGAGGAGAGGGAGAAAAGAAGGCACGGGATTTCGAGCCTTCCCAACAATGGGATGAAGAAAAAAAAAGGAAAGAAGAGACCTCTTTGGGAAGAGGGAAGACGGGGGAAGGGGGGGCGTGGGCGTGGGAGAAAGACGAAGAGGAACGGTGTAAACGGCGGGTCTATTGGGGGCTGTTGGACGGAGCCAGCAACGCCTCTCTACCGCAGGAGACTCTTACGAAGTACGCCATAATGCTAGCGACTTACAAGTAGCCTGCATATTGATCTTTATGTACAGTTGAGGAGGGGGATTATATGAAAAGGTACAATGTGAGAGAGTACGGCGGCAGGTATCAGTTATAGCCATCTGGTAAGAGTATATTTGCTGCTTACGGTCAATATGCAGTGATACCGCATTTGGGAAGCTTGGGAGGGGGGGTGAGATGAGGTGCAGTGAGAATGTGAGATGGCCCAGCCAGTAGGAATCGGTCCAGATACAGGTCCAAGGTGTCCAGATACCTCACAGCCCAAGCGCAGCCTTCATGAGTACGAAGTACCAGGTGAACTCCGTAAAGAAGAAGAGAGAGAAAGGATGGTGAAGAAGGTGGTATTATAATCAGAGAAGTTGGGGGTGGCTGCGACACGACACCTACACCTACATCAAGAGCCAGAGAGTTCGAAAGAGGCAGAACCCCCTTAGCATTACCGGGAATGGAGAGCACGGCGAGGAGATGGAGATAGTGTATCCCACCGGTTACAACGAGAGACTTTGGCTCGCAGCTGCAGCGCGTGGGTGGAATACCCGGGTCCCATTCATTGCATCGACCATCATATTGTTGTATGCGCTGGCAACAAAGGGTGAATGAAATACGCAAAGCGACCCTGTCTGCGAAGTACATTGATGCCGGGCTGTTGGGTTGCTGGACGGAAACTGGGAAACGGAACGAACGAACCACGGGCAAAGGATTCAAAGAACCAACAAGCATTGAACACTGAACTTTTCCCCCGCTCTCTCCTCTTCCACGTCCGCGGGTCATGTCCGCAGGAAGGAATCAAAAAACGAGATGGCACAGACGTGGCGGCGCCACTCGGAGGCGAAGCGAAGCGAGTTTATTTGTTAGAGCAACGGGCTGGTGCGGAATCGAGGACGCCAATTTACGCAGAGAAGTCAAATCTCAAATACTTTAGAGTGCATCAACACACACAAAGTATTATTATTAGCCCAGCCAAGCCCGGCCAGGCGGTTCAATTGCTATCGGCGCTGACGACATACATGAAGGATTTAGCAAGAAAAGGGAAAAGCTCGATGGGCGGCTACTTTTTGACGAAAGACTAGTGATTGATTGATCAAAATGGCTTTTTCTTCAGTCTTGTTGTCATACCAGGAAAGTTTTTTTTTAACTTTTGGACGGCGGTGAGTTTATCTTGGATTGAGTAAGACTGGGAGGCGCGGAGGTTGGACGACCCGCGGGCTTGGGGCTTCGGCTCGATGGCTCGTCACGGCACCGCTTGTTGGATTGGACAGGCTCCTGGGATCCTGATGGTTCGTGGATGGATTGTCTGGCTGTGCAGGACGCCACGCCTCTCTGAAAGGGGCCAGGCTACGAAGGAATAGCTCGTGTCTTAAAGGGGGCTGAATGTTCGTGATGTGAACTGCGCAGGGGAAACAGAAGGTCTGGCGAACCAAAAATCAGGTAAAAAAAAAAAAAAAAAAAAAAAAAAAAAAAAAATACAATAAATAAATAAAGCGTTTGGAAAACGGTACATTTATATTCGGGGGTTGCCAAGCTCTTTTGAACCGTCGGGAGAATATCGACTTGATCCAGGCTTATTACCTCAAATCTCAGAGGGCTTGAAGATGCTGCATGAATAGGGACTGCCCCCGACGCAAAGCTAAGAGGGGAAAAAAAAAAACAAGGGTGGGGCAAGATGTCCTTGGAGGATGGCCTGTCTCGCATGCTGTTCCTGGCAGACAAGAAACCAGACACGAAGCTGAATCGTCGTTCGAGAACCTCAAAGCAAGAAGGAGCATGGTCGAAGTGCGTAGACTCGCTCTCATTGCCGTTTTCTTGCCTCCACGCTTTTCTTGTAGAGACCAAACACAACCGAGAGGCAATGAGACAATAGGGTAATACAAGCACTTGGAGTTTTATTTCCTCATGCGTTACCGAGACCAGGACCGAGAGGATGGCGATCTTCAGCCTGCAGTCCGTCCCCCGTCCGCGCAATCTTCGTGTCCGGTTACACAAAGAACCCCATTAAAAGGCTCAAAATACCGAGTGATGGTGAGAATGTACCGGATCGGCGGATACGTATCCTTGATCCAGATCATCTAGATCCCGTGCAACTATCAATGTTGATGCTCTCCCTGTGTCCAATATAGCCGAGATGGAAGAGAGGACGATTGAATATTTCCTGATAGTGGTACCAGCGGCCTTTGTCAGCTTTGCTCAGCAGTTGCAGCGCAGTCCTGGTCTTGGTCTGGACTCTCTTCGCTCTCCCCAACTTCGAACCGCCCGCCCAAAAAGGACAAATCTGATTCTCGCATCTTTCCCCATGTTCGTTCGGAGAAAGGAGAAATAGAAACGCATTCATCAGGACTCGCATTCCATTCCAGATGTGTTTGGTGTTCAATTCGTCAATTGATCTAATCTGAACAGGGTCTAGTGTTGGCAGTCCACTAGTGTAATCGACGTAGTGTCCTTCGGAGTTTGAGTGGAGTGTTTCCAGCCCTACCAAGCCAAAGCCGAGCCCAGCCCAGTCCAAGACCCGCTAGGAAAACACCAAGACCAGAGGGTGGCCGGGCCGGCGCAGGCCGAAGCAGGCCATGACATTTGACGCCACATGGCAATAGTTTCAATGCTACCTCGCAGCAGAGAATTAGACTCTCGCTGAGCGCTTTCCAGTGCCGAGACTCGCTCATCCCCGACCCGAAAAGACCCCCCACGAACTTTCTGCAGCGAACCGCCCCGACGGAGCATGTCACTCTCCCAGACCATCCCCAGCTCCTCGGGGATCAATACCGTCTTCGGTTAGCTTTGAAAAGAAAGGACAAAACCTAATGTTAACATTCCGAAGCACGTCAAATCTTCTTTCGATTGAGCTAACTTCTTTACTACGAAGTACAATGTCCTGGACTTGAAAGACCCTGCTTTTTATTTGATTTATTTAATTCTAATTTTTGTCTTGATATTTTCCCCTTTATATATATTGGGCGGTGCATGTGGAATCCGGGGTTCATGAGTACGACGGACGGTGAGACTGTCAATCCGCAGGAGGCATGGGTCATCCTTCGAATTTCAGCTTAGAGGATGCCCTGACCTGTTCTACAGCTACGAGGGAGCTCATGGTAATTCGTCAATTTCCCCAATGATTGCTCACTAGCAAAAGAGAAAACGAAGAAAACGTTGGCCGGATTCCGAGTTAAACCTCAGCCAGCTCTTGGCTGGAGCAGCTGATCAGCCAAAATCTCACCGAAGCAACTGGATAACTCAAAGCTGTCATCGAGACTGTCAATGAGCGAGCGAGGCCATGTTCTGCCAGCTGCTGTGCTGGCTAGTGCTGACGGGCTTAAATCTTAAGACGCCTCGATACGAGAGGAAACCGAGATTGATATTCCTCGTCCTTGATCTGTCCTCAGCGGCTTGACCTCACGACCTGCCAAAACCCGCAGCAAAAATTGACGTTTTCTCTATTCGCCTGACCCTTCACGTTCCTGGTAATGGCAGTCATATTAGATCAACACTTCTACCGTCCGCCTCGCTGCTAGCGGCCCGGCCTGTGTGACGGGGTCAGCCGATCTGGAGAGCAGAGCCACACCACTACGTTGAATGATAGAACATAACAAAGTTAATACTCGGGCTTTTCTCCATGAGTGAAGTGTTGTACAGTATTAAATATTATTTGAAGTGTCGCAAGCCTGGAAGGCACTGCCTTCTGTCACTTCTTGGTCTTGTCGAAACAACGTTAGGGCCCTAGAGTGAGGACGAGACTGACGAAGAGTACGAATCGTCTGACTGTTTCGGTCCCGAAAACCCTAAATCTTCCGAAACAACTCTGGGTCTTAACCGCTCTCTCGGTGCTTTAGTCTCTCGTGCTCTCCCATCACTCTTCCAAGTCAATTGCTTATGCATTGTAAGGTACACGAGGTGAAGCCACTCGTACTCGTCTTCTCTAATGTGATCGAGAGATGTAGTTTTAAGTATATGAAAGGAAACCGCAATAGGGTCGGTAGTGTCGTCGAGTATAGCTTCAAGGACTCGAATAGCTGTATCGGTGACGCTTGTGATGCGGACCTGAGTAGTAAACGTTAGCTACGCGAGAGAGATGGCGAACTTCCGACATAAAAAAAAAAAGGAGCTCCCGTACCCGGCCCCGTACGAGAATATTCGCCGTGGCTCTCTGTCGGCCAAGCAGGGCAAAGGCACATTCCTGCTCCCCAAGCAGGAGCCCAGAACCACCGTCTCCGATACCAGGGAAGCGCGCCCGCTGTCTATGGTGGAGGATACACCCGTGGACAAGCCTACTTTGGTCTTCAAGGATCGAGACTACGCGCCATGATCGGCCTGATTGATTGTAGGGCGAGACGAGCGCTTTCTCCCATCGTGAGCCCAGGTACGGTCTGAGAGTGACACCCCAAGGTAGCTTGTTAGCTTTGCCGGATCAATAGAAGAAGAAAAAAAAATTGTCGGAGCGATGGGTGGCGGACACCTACGGACGACAATTCCAGAGGTCCTTGGCGTGGAGGGCGTAGTTTACGCATGCACCTTCGAGATGACATGCCCACTCGTACGGAGAGCAAGGTATCGGCTCTACATCGTCATATCCGCCGCCGGTAAACTTGGGGAGAGTGGATGGAACGAAACCGCGAAGTGCTTCGAGATCGCTCTGAGGTAATGGCGGTATCTGCTGCGGATTGCTAGGTCTGACATGAGTAGTGATGCTTTTGGTATTAGGGCTTCCTTGAGAAAGTCTCCGGCCTTCTATTGCTAGGCGAGTTAGCACAGGATCCGCGGGGACGACCATGGTGCTGCTGTCTCTCGGCTTTCATCGTTGACGAGGTTGTTTCGGTCTCTTGATGCGTCTCTGGGATCATTGAATGTTTACAAAGATGCACGTGATGCGATTCTGGTTGACGTCCAAGTAAACAATTCAATTGTTCTCCACGCGAGGGCATGTTGCACTTAACCAGAGCAACCCACGTATACCCCCTTGTAAGAATATATCTAATTAAACGATTGTAATACTCATTTATCCGAAACGAGAAACGACATTGCTCCGGCATGGACTTTTATCGTATTCGTGGATTAACAATGGTATATACTTACTTTATGTAGATTCTGTAAATTCTGGGTCTATACGGAAAACTAAAGAAATCTGTAGAGTTTAGAGAAGAGCACCACACTGATGGAATCTAATCAGAAGACCGAGACAGCCAATTTACGCCTATTTGCATACAACTTTGGTCCTAAAATCGTCATGGTGCGGGGTATTTCTGCTCTGTTGTTCCTGCTGCCGTTGCCGTTACCGTTACAGTTGTACGGTTATACCGCCTTCATACTGGGACAAGATGGAAGATATTTAAATAGTAAAGATACATGCAGACTTGTGGACACCAATTAGAGGGCCGGTTGGTAGGGAAGAGTTTTCGGCCAACTGCGAGACGAGGCCATCCGATGGGGTCCCATCGCGACTACCCCTCCCTCTGCCCCATGCTGTTATAATCCGATCTTGCTTAATTGAGGCACCCTCGAGAAGAAATGGCGGATATAGAGTTAGATCAACTCGCTATAAGCTGGTCTGACACTGCGCGGGAGCTGAACCTCCTAGACAAGTCCCTCGCTGACATCAAGTCACATACGAATGATGTCCACTCATCCGCCTCAAACATCTCCCCGCGGTCCTACCATTTCCTCCGCGTTTTGCGCCCTTCTCCCGTAGACCCTGACCTCCTCGTTCTTACCGCCCACCTAAAGCGGTTGGGTCGACTTTCTAAGCGCCATATCCTAGCATTTGAGAAGCTGTTCCAATTACCAGACCAAACCAGACAGCCCCAGGAACCACTCCGAGCGCGTCCCGAGAGTCTAGAGACGAGGACCCCCGAAATCAAGAGCCACGTTCACCAGGACCCGTTCTCCTTAGTAGTTGACTGGAATAATCTCAGCAATCCGCAAAAGTCTGACCATGCCTTGAAACACTTTTTCCGTCTAGCCGACTGGCTCGCCGATCCAAGCGCCCGGACGGCCCAACCTCCGGCTGCTGTCCTCGGTGCCTTCTCACGGACCTGGAACCTCTTCGCCCAGCTGAATCCAGACGCTTATCGTTATTGGAGTCGAGGTGCACTACCTAGCTTCGCCGTCGACCTTGAACGACCTATGCGTAAGTTGGATTTGAAGCGTGCTGATGTAGTGCGGCCACCTTCCCCGATGAAGGAGGACGGTGCGGAGACCGATAACACGACGAGTGATGAAGATATATGGAGCTTTGGCGATAGATTTGATGAGCTACACCTTGATGAAAGCCCCCTCGCTCGCCTGGGCGACTCCAGACGGGCAGGTGTTCGTGAGCCAAAAGAACTGGAACCTGGCGCCAGCAAAACGAGCGACGCCACCAAAGGAGATCAGATTAGCGACGAGGATGGTCCTAAACGCACCCATACCGAGAGCGTAGTAGCCGACCTTTTAGCTAGCCTTGTTGACGCCCTCGTATCGACACTCCTGAATGGTCCGTACATAGGCGTTGCTTCGACAACTGACCAGATTCGCTTCACACTTGGTGGCAGGGAATCTGATCCGCCTACATTTAGGCTGACTGCCTGCGTGGATGGGTATATTAGGATATCAGATCCTCAGGGATGTCCCTTCGTGGCTGTTTTTGAGGTTAAAGCGAGGTCGAGGCCGATATTCAACCGCGATAGTATTGATCAGGTGCGGAGGCAGGAGGCTGCTGAAATTGCGGCCATGGAGTTTGCCTATGGGAATCGTACCAGTTCTGATAAAGAGGAGGGTCGCTCGAAGAGGTTGGTCTGCCTTCTAGGTAGTGGAAGTAGTAGCACTTCTAACTTCAAGATTATTTTAGAACTGGGCAGCCCCCGTCACAAATCCTGATATCTGCCACGCCGGAGGGGATATACATCAGTGTTGCTGAAAAACCTCACGGATGGCAAAGCTACATCTGTGACGGCAATAACAGGGTGTGCCCCAGGGATAAGAGGCTAGGCGTCTATGACATGTTGACGGTCTGGGAATACGGACCTTTGAGATTAGAGAACAGGTTGCACCTCAAGACATTCGGTTTCATAATAGCCGCGTTGCTTGCGTGTCACCTCGATAGACGGCAAGGGGCAGGGTCCACTGGGTTTAAGTAATCCGCCTGCTGAGGCTCTGAATGAAGCATGGTGGGACCGGTAGTTAGGAGAGAACTCCTCTATACAGTCACTCGACAACAGGAAGCTGACGGATATTCATTAGCAACATATTAGACATATTTAGAGATGCAGTACTTACGTAGAAGATAAACATACCGATTCGATCTGGATAGGCGGAATCTTCCGGCAATTCTACAACAGCCTCCAGCTGCTGCCATGTCGCACGAGGCGTACGTCGTCAAACTCCCGCGTAACTCGAAAGACTCATTGCGAAGGAGGTACCGAGAGGGTGCGGAATTTCCCTGGACACTGGTATCCAGTAACCTGCCACGCAGAAACAAGCAAACAGAGAGATAAATGCAGGGCGATGTTCAGGTAAGTCTCCTGCTGGATACACAACGGATTCGTGAGTCTATGGAAATGCGCAAGTGGTATCTCATAATAATTACAAGAAGAACAAACAAAAAAAAGAAGAAAACAAACCCGGTTTAAATCCACTCCCGTCTCTCTCACTGCTTCTTCGTCTTCTCCTTCTTCGCCGCCACCAGTCCACTCTCCACAACCAACTTCCCCAAACACCACAAATAACAAACAACAAACCCAGCAGTCCCGATCCCAACATTCACCACAACCCAAAGATCCGGCTTCCCCACGGGCGGCGGCACAAAGGCCTCAGCAACATGCCAAGCCGCCATGGCGACGTAGAACCCGAGATGCACGATGCCCGTGGCCCACTTGACCCAAACGTGGAGGTGCTGCGCATCGGAAAAGTACACATTGAACGATGTGGGCGGCAGGCCGAGGAGATAGGCCCAAAGGAACGTGAGCACGGCGTAGGGGATGCGCAGGTCGACGCGCGCGAGGAGGGGATACATCGTCCAACAACCCAGAAGATTCGCGAAGCCCACCCACGCGCGGGTGTCCTTGGAAATGCCGTGTTTACCGGCAAGGAGGAGCGTCATGGGCATGAGTGGGAGGAGGACGCTCTTTTCGTGGACTTGGTAGCTGAAGAGGAAGAAGCCCCAGGCTGTGGCGGCGAAGCCGAGAGGGAGGAGAGTCTTTTGTGGGCGGAGGAAGAGGATGACGTTGGGGGGGATGATGGAGAGGAGCGTCGCGGCGAGGGAGGCCTTTTGGAGCAGTTCGGCAGGGTACTTGCGCAGTTTGATGAGGACGTTGAGGGCGCACCAGAAGTTGGCGACCTTGTCCTCGAAGAGACCTCTCGCGAATGGGAAGACTCGGTGCACCATTTGGACTAGTTGTTCCACCACGGGATAGTAAAACGATTCGGTATCGAGGTAGTCCGTGAGCCACGGCGCGAGTGGCAGCGGCTCCGGCGGTCCGTCCGGACGAGCCTTGATTCCTTGGCTCGCGTCGTGCAGAGTGCCGACAACAATAGGCAAAACAAGCAGCGCGAACGAAATGAGCGTAACAGCCGCGATACCCATCAGCCTCTGCAGGTTAATACGCGGCGTGACGCAGCTGCCGAGCAGGTAGCTGAATATAGCAAAGGCATAGTAAAGAGCCATCTGCTTGAACCCAAGCGCCGCGACGAAGAACACCGACGCCCAGAGAAACCGCTCAGCGAGCAGGCTCGACATGCTAGCGAGGACAAAGCCGAGCATGACGGTGTTATACTGGAAATGGACATGATCGACGAGGATGGTAGCAGGCTGCATGAGGAAGGCCGTGAGGGCGAGAGCCATGCTCCAGGTGGACACGCCATTGAGGCGGCTGTAGCGGCGGATGAAGATGACGGCGGCGGGGATGTAGATGAGGTACTCGGACACGATGACGGTGGCGCGCATGAAGACTTTTAGAGAAGGGTCGTCGGAGCCTCGGGACGTGAAGAGGGCGAACCACGCGGGGTCGATGAGGGAGCCAATCTTGCCGCAGAGCCAACTATGGTAGGCCGTGAGGGGAGGGTAGTCGAGGCCCCACCATTGGAGGTCGTGGAAGTACCATTGCGAGATGGGGAGGTGGGTGGTGATTTCCATCCAGTGTCGCTGGGCTTCGTAGTCGCCGAACATGGGGGGTTTCTGGAAGCCTGGTGAGGTTTAGCAAGGTACTTCTAGAGGCAATTAACCAAACCCCAGTCTGAAAATAAAAGAAAAAGGTAAACATGGGAGGGAGAAAGGAGGCCCGAGCATCCGCGAGGAATCTCAAGACTCACCCGAGTATCCCCAGAACCCAGCAGCCCACCGAAACAATCCAACCACCATGAGAATCAGCGGTAGAACCTCCCACTGCGACACCGAGCTCCTAGCCGGCCACAGGAACGACGCGAGAGGGAACGCCGGGGCACGCACGAGGGCCTCGGACTTGGAGAGCTTGCCCTGGTCGAGCTTTGGTCGACGCCTCGGCTTGTGCGGCGAGGGCGGAGGGCGAGCCATTGTGGAGATTGTGCGAGGGAAAGGAGGTAGCTGAAGTTCGGATTTGCCGGTTTGAGCTCCAACGGTTTGGGCTTTCCTCCACTTTCACCTTTTGGCAGTGAATTGGGCTGGATGGGAGGTGTTTGGGAGCTTATCGTCCCATTGCTTGTGGGATGCAGTTGGACAATTGAACAACGAACGTTGGCAATGTTAGGATGGTTATGTCATCAGGGGAGTGTACCTTGGCAGGTCCTGGGGTAATGGAAGGTCACGTGGCGCTACAGTGGTGGCTCGCCTGTGAATTTGAACTGTGAGTACAAAGGTATTGAGCCTTTGATTGTTCACTCACGAAGTAATCAGGGGAATACAGTGAACTTATGAAGTAAGACGATATATATTTCTCGGTATAAAATTGGATTGATTCTTCTTATCGTTGTCTCCACGCATGCAAGTAGAAAATATATACGAAGTAAGGAGGCATCTACTCATGCCCAGCCTTAACTCCTAGATTTGATCACTGGTCAATGGATGAACCTGAAGAGCCCAGGAGCCCAGGGGTAACGTCTGAGTTGGGCTGCTAAAAATAGCAGTACCGAGTCTCCTTGCCTCGACCTTACACCTTAGCATTGGCTCTTGGACAATGAGAATGCGCCGTTGGGGGGTGTACTATGTAGGCAAAGTGATGCGCGTGATGACCCGAACACGATTCGGCGTCTCGAAAGAGAAGGCTACCAGTGCCAACGGAAAGACAGGCGAGCAGAACTCGACACGAGCTGAGAGCGGCTAAGACAGCGGCAGGGCACATGGGTGACGGAGCTCCTTTGCAAGGACCAATTCAAGAAGAGGAACAACGAATAGCTCGACAGATGGCTAAATGGTGTCCCCAGCCGCCGCTGCAGAAAGTCATCTTCAGCGGTCGGAACAGTATCCTCGAAGACATCCGCAGCAAGAAGGATGAGGATTTCCCGGATGACGACAGCACGCGCAGAAATGTCGGCGCGATCAGCGCCTGAATTGATTACGCCTGGGAGACCATACCGAAGCCGTGATACGTATCGATGATACAAGACATCAACAGTACGCTGCGAAGATGCCTCTCTCCGGCCGCCTCTATACACAAAAGTCAACGCCGCCTGGAACCTTGGATGCGACCATGCCACGCGGGAACAATTTCGCGACTTGTTGGACAGTGTGAGTGATTTCATTGGTGTTTGACTCTCTCGACGGCAGCCTGGTCGTACATACATAGCCCCCCGCTTCGCGTGCCAATCAGGCAGCTTAGGCACACTCAGCCCTGGAGAGCATCGCTTTCATCCTCCCCTCTCCATCTGGTCAACAAGCCATGGCGGAATCATTCGGGATCATTGCCAACGTTGCTGGCCTCTTCAAGAACTGCGTCGAGTGTTTCGAGTACGTCCAGCTGGGTCGCCAGTTTGGGCAAGACTATGAGAGATGCCAGCTCAGACTGGATATTGCAGAGGCCCGCCTTGGCCGATGGGGTGAGGCGGTCAAGATCAATGATGACCCGCGTTTCAAAGCTAGCGCGCAGACGGACATTTCGGTTCAACAGACTCAATCAATTCTCGAGGAAATCATGCTCCTTTTCGAGTCTGCTCGGAAAACCTCGAAGCGATACGAGCTCGTCGCAGACCAGACGGATCTGGTGGTGTTCGAGGCCGACAGGGACATGAAGCCGGTCGGTCGGGCGCTGCACAGTAAGCTGAAGGACCTCACCCGCCGGAGGCAGAAACAGACGAGCCTGGTGAAGAAGACGGCTTGGGCGCTGTACGACGGGAAACACCTCGAGAATATAATCAACCAGATCGCCTGCTTCGTTGATGAACTGGAGAAGATCTTTCCTATCGGGGCCGATTGCCAGAAGTTGGCCGAGATGGATACCAAAGAGGTGGAGGACGAAGTGAGCCTGACCTTGCTTAAGGATGCGGCGGAGGGGATCGACGCGGCGCTGTCAGACGCCGCTGCACGGAAGATCGACGCGATTGCGGGAAGGAACTCCGCCAAAAATATTAGGACGGAGGATCGTGCAAGGGTCCAGCTTGGCAATGTATTCACCGAGGAAGTCTTACATCGTTGGATCCTTACTAAGGACCAGACAACCAACTCGGCGGAGACGGTGGTGGCGACGGGTGAATCTGGGATCCAAATTGGAAATACGTACGGAGGCAAGGGGATTTGGGATCGTTAACAGCAGGTCGATAGGCTCTCGGCCTGAGAGTAGCAGAACCTAGTTTCTGAGCATGAATGCAGATGAGTTATCCTAACGCCGTTACCTAACGGCGCTGACGGAGCTCCATGATCAGGAATCCAGACTGCCCGTCATCCGACTAGTTGTACTCCTCGATTTACGTTTGTATTTATAGCCGCCTGAGCCATGATGGAACACGCGACCGCTTCCCTGGCGATTCACGTCGACGAAGCTAGGCGTGTACAAGTGTACAAGGTCGTGTCCACTTTTCGCAGTTTCGGATCATGGCAGCAGTCGGACACCTACGACTGGCGAACCATCATGAAATGCCTCCTCTCATTCAGCTGTGCTTGTCGCAGGTGCAGCCTGGCCGCCGTCGTCATTGGTTGTCCGGCACCTACAGCCTGACCCCTCATTTCGGCGGCGAGCCTGACAGCGCCACCGTAAAGACCCAAGCCCGACATTCTTGCCAACCCCTCAACAATCCCTCTTGAAAACAGTTTCAATTCCTGATTATCTACCGGTCCGCCGTAGGACATCGCGCTGGATGAACGATGAACTCGGTAGACGCTCTGACGGCCAGTGGTCAGGCCAGAGTTCAAGTGGGAAACATCACCAACAACTATAGCGAGTCGGCCACCAATCAATGCCTACGTGACCTGCGGTTAACCGACCCCCGCGACGACAAGAAACGCATCGAGCAGACGAAGGGCGGCCTATTTAGAGACTCGTATCACTGGATTCTCGATAATGCCGACTTCCGACGATGGCGGCATGACCCACGGAGCCGATTGCTCTGGATCAAGGGTGACGCTGGCAAGGGCAAGACCATGCTACTCTGCGGTATCATCGACGAGCTCGAGTCCGCAGCCGACACCAGCCAACTGTCCTACTTCTTCTGCCAAGGTACCGACTCCCAGCTCAACAATGCCACTGCGGTCGTACGTGGCCTCGTCTACCTGCTAGTCAGCCGGCACCCATGCCTCATGTCGCCTCTACAGAAAAAGTATGACGAGGCAGGGAAACGGTTGTTCGAAGACCAAAACGCTTTCTATGCGCTACGCGACATCTTTAACGCCATCTTGCGAGATCTGGGGCTCACAGGGGCGTACTTTGTTATTGACGCCCTCGACGAGTGCGAGCATGATTTGCCACTGCTTCTAGAGATTATCAAGGAAACAACGACAGCATCCCTGCCGATCAAATGGATCATTTCCAGTCGGAATAGGCCCGACATTGAACGACATTTTACCCTCCATGACTCTCGCATAAGGCTCAGTCTCGAGCTGAATGCCCAGCACGTCTCTCACGCCATCGAGCTTTACATCGACCACAAGGTCTCCCAGCTCAAGGTAATAGAGCATGAGAGAACTATACGAGATCAAGTCATAACGCAGATGCGACAGAAAGCCGAGGGAACTTTTCTCTGGGTAGCGCTCGTTTTCCAGGAGCTTCAGAACGTTTTTCTCAGTTGGGACGTGCTTCCGCTGCTGGAAGAGATCCCCACCGGCTTGACACCACTCTATCATCGAATGATGGTCCAAGTTGAGCGGCGCAGACAATTCGGAATCTGTCGCCACGTTCTTTCTGCAGTGACCCTCGCCCGTCGTCCGCTTTACCTACCTGAACTACCGATTTTGGCAGGTATCGAGGGTATCTCTCATATAAACGAGTTGGAAACGATTATACACCTATGCGGCTCGTTTATCACGATCCGAGCCTCTAAGGTTTATCTCATCCATCAATCCGCCAAGGAGTACCTTCAAGCCTCAGACAAGATCTTCCCTTCTAGCCGTCAACCTGCCCACCGAGGCCTTTTCTTCCGTTCACTACGGGCTTTGTCTAGGACCCTGAAAAAGGATATATACGGGCTTCGTCGTCGCGGATTCTTAGCCGTCGAGGTGCAGCCTCCTGAACCGAATCCATTAGGTGCGGTGGGGTACTCTTGTGTCTACTGGGTTGATCATCTACTCGACGCGCAGAACCCTGATCACCATAACAAGCTCTCCGGTAAAGAGGAAACGGAGATCTATGGGTTTCTGAAGACGGATTTTACCCATTGGCTTGAGAGTTTGAGTCTCTTGGGGGAACTTCCAGACGGAGTAGCGTCAATCAGAAGGCTTCTGTATACGATTCAGGTATGACGGACCACAACGCGATTTTTCTCTACCTGCTAACTAAATGTAGCCAACTGTATCTAACACCGGGCCTCTTACTACGGGGCTTGTCGACTTCTTGAAGGACGCCGTACGCTTTGCACTTAGATACGGGTCGATCATCGAGGAGGCACCTTTACAGACATATGCTGCCGCACTAGTATTCTGTCCAACGAACAGCAAGGTGAAAAGTCAATACCGAGAAGAAATGCCATCATTTGTCGAGGATGTTGCAGGCATCGACGAGACTTGGGATTCATGTCTACAGACTCTCAAGGGCTATGCCAACAGTGTAGCGTTCTCACCAGATAGCCGGACACTTGCATCTTCTTCATATGATCAAGCAATATGCCTCTGCGATACAGTGACAGGCCGAGTGAAGCGGAGACTGGTCCATAACAGCTTTAGTAAGAGCGTAGCATTCGCGCCAGATGGCCGGACGCTTGCATCGGTTTTAGGCGATGGAACAGTACAGCTCTGGGATGTAGCAACAGGCCAAGAAATGCAGGCCCTCAAGGGCTACGCCAACAGTGCAGCGTTCTCACCGGATAGCCGTATGCTTTCATCGGCTTCAAGTGATCGAACAGTACAGCTCTGGGATGTGGCAACAGGCCAGGTAACACAGAACCTCGAAGGCCATAGTGGCCAGGTCTACAGCGTGGCCTTCTCACCAGACGGCCAGACGCTTGCATCAGCTTCACAGGATGGGGCAGTACACCTCTGGGATATAGAAGCATGCCGAATAAGACAGACACTAAAGTCCTGTAGCAGCTTTAAGAGTCTAAGGTTCTTAGCTGGGGACCCAGTCAATGGCATCGCATTCTCACCAGACGGCCGGACGCTTGCATCAGCTCCAGGGGGCGGAACACTACAGCTCTGGGATGTGGCAACAGGCCAGGTAACACAGAACCTCGAAGGCCATAGTGGCCAGGCCCACAGTGTGGCGTTCTCCCCAGACGGCCAGATGCTTGCATCAACTTCATTTGATTATGTAGTACGGCTTTGGGATGTGGCAACATGCCAGGTAATTCAGGTACTAGGCCATAGCCAGAGAGTCAACGGCATAGCGTTCTCACCAGATGGCCAGACGCTTGCATCAGCTTCATTTGATGCAGTACAGCTCTGGGATATGGGGGCGAGCCAAGTGACGTATACAACACAGAACCTCAAAGGCCATAGTCGCGACGTTGGCAGCGTGGCATATTCACCAGATGGCCGGATGCTTGCATCAGGTTCGTATAACGGAGCAGTACGACTCTGGGATCTAGCAACAGGCCAGGCAACACAGACGCTTAAGAGTAGCCCTCTTTGGAGAAAGAAGCCCCTAAGTGTTTTAAGTATAGCATTCTCACCAGACAGTCGGATACTTGCATCAAATTTAGTTGATGGAAGAGTACAGCTCTGGAATACAGTGACAGGCCAAGAGATGCAGACACTCGAGAGCAATGACAAAGCGTCTGAGTTGATGAGTATGGCGTTCTCACCAGACAGCCGGATGCTTTCAGTCGCTTTGTGGGATGGAATGATATGGCTCCGGGATGTGGCGACAGGCCGAGAGATGCAGACGCTTAAGGGTTACGATAGAGGGGTCTTTGGCGTGGCGTTCTCGCCAGATGGCCGGACGCTTGCGTCAGGCTTATGGAATGGGATGATACAGCTCTGGGATGTAGCAACGGGGCAAGTGACCCAGACGCTCAAGGATGATAGTCAATCGGTCAAGCTTGAGAGCATGGCGTCCCTGCTCAGAGGCCCACCCAAGGCCCTGCTGGCCCGCAATAAGATCGTGACGTTCTCACCAGACGGCCAGACGCTTGCGTCAGCTGGGCGGGATCGATTGATAAAGTTCTGGGATGTGGCGACGGGTCAACTGACGGGGTGGAAGGACGTGGACGATGGATGGAGGCTTGAGAGCGTGGCGTTCTCACCGGACGGTCGGATGCTTGTATCGGCTTCATGGGATGGAACGGTGCGGCTCTGGGATGTGGCAATAGGCCGAGCGATGCGGACCCTCTCGGGATTCGATGTTGGCCCAGCGATTTCATATTTCCGATTTGACAAAGCCGGCCGTTTGCATACCAACCTTGGCACATTCCATATACAACCTACGGAATCTTCTACGGCCGAAACCGTTGCCTCTCCAGATCATTCGGGTTCTTTACTTCAACCCATAGGATATGGCTTGAACCGCAACCGCGAGTGGATTACATATGACGGCGAAAATGTACTACGGTTGCCCCCGGAGTATCGGGTAACCTCATCAGCTACCTCTGGATCTCGTATTGCGATCGGCTGTTCTTCCGGACGGGTCCTAGTCCTAAGATTCTCAGGAGACAATCCCATCTCGAAGCCAGGTTAAAACCATTGTTTGTCTCCCAAGCTTTTCATATTCCCACGTCTCTCTCTCTTTCATTGCCACCCTTTTTTCCCCCTTTCATTGTGTGAAGCAGGAAGAGTGTGGGGATTACGGATCGCGCTTTCTAGTATTGTTAGTCAAATCCCAGCATATTCGTATTCGAGATGTTTCGGGCTTTCGAATTCCCTGTCTATCGAGGTCTGATTTCCCTTATGTCTAAGCGGTTCTATGTCGTCTTCTCATGCCAACCACCGGCGTTGCCTTAAGAGTTGGCCCAAGGGGGGGGATCTGATAGGACCGAGTTTCATGAGCTCCATGTCCTAAATAGCCCCAGTAGGCATTATTCCAAGTAGCGATTCCTTCTTAAAAAAAGAGCTTAACGGGCAGATTCTAGTGCTGTAGTACTAGAGATCTCGTGTTAGTCCCACACTAATCGCCCAAGGCAAGGCGAGTCTGCATGGCGGCTCTTCTGCCAACGACTTGCTACCAAGCGGCGGTTAAATCACTGTAGCCTGCCTCTCTATGACGAATACTTCAGAATAGACAGATACGGTGTCTCCTGCAAACAAAAATGAAGGCGAGACTGCAAGCGGTGAAGTAGAGAGGCAACTGAAGAGACAGCTCCGTTGCGATCTATCATTGCTGGGCTGCGGTTGGGAAACACTAAGCCCAGCTGGCAACAGACAAGCCGGGCCGCCTACAAGCTGGTTCAAGGATGGGACGGAGGATCACGTGGGGCTCAGGTGACAATGTCTCGTTCTCTCGCTCTCACTCTTATCGATTGATTGATGCATTGTTGGAAGGCAGATCGACTCTCATTTATCGTGTCACTGGACATATATGTAGAAAATATTGATCAATTCTTGGAAAGGGATCTACTATCTACTATCTACTCTGCTCAGCCCTGTGCTGATCACTGATCAGTCAATTGATGAACCTGACGACCCTGAGACGTCCTGCAATTAACATCACTGAACTGCTCTGGAAATAATCAATGACGACAGTGGGGTAATCCATGCCAAGCCAAGCTCCATCGTCACCTTCCAGAAACAACAGAGCTTCCATCACAACCTCACCTCACTTAATCTCTGGCTCTAACCATGCTCTCCACTCTCTCATCCCCATAAAAACACACTTAACTAATCTCAACTCTCTCACGCATCTCTCAAGATGCCCTTCCCCTTCACCCTCCCCACCACATCCTCCTTCTCCTTCTCCTCCTCCTACTTCTCCCCCACCCACCCCTCCCTCCCCCAATCCTCCAGCACCCCGCGAGGCCTCGTCCGGGACACCCTCAAAAAGCACAAACGCCTCCCTCCCACCTCCCAATCCCCCAACCTCCCCGCCGTCTCCACGACCTTGACATCCTACCTTCCCTACCTCCTCGCCCTCTCCACAGGCCTGCGCACCGACTCGCCCCTCCTCCGCGCAGAAGAAACCTCCACCCCGACGATAGAATGGCGACCGACACTAACCGACGCCGTCGTCCCCGGCCGCGAAGGCCCCCGCGTGAAGATCCACTCTCTCGACCACGAGATTTCTTTTGTGCTCTTGACGCTGGCGAACGTGCACGTCCTCCTCGCCAGGACGGCGCTGCACCCTCTGTACCTCACTACATCCACGGCGACGGTCGGTAGCACCGAACGCACGACAGCCATCCAATCCGCCACGAAATCCCTCCTCGACGCCGCCTCCATCTACGAATACGCCGCCACCCGCGCCGAAAACACCCACAGCAGGAACCACCAACAAAAAGCCGTCCCCTGCGTCGACATCTCCCCTTCCACCCTCCGCGCCCTCGCCGCCCTCTCCCATGCCGAAGCGACCCTCCTCGCTGTTCTAAAAGATGACCCCTACCCGGCCGTGGTAGCCCAAGACCGCAACAAGAACGACAAGGAATGGATGTACAAAGCCCCGGACATACCCAAGGTTCGCGCCCACCTGTTCGCGCGCCTGTGCCTCGCCGCAGCCGAACACGCCGCGCGCGCCTCGGCGCTCCTGCAGGCGGCTGCTACGTCGACGATGGCGGGGAAGGTGGACGGGGAGCTAGTGAGGTATGTGGAGGATGTGAGGCGGACGAGTCGGGCGAGGGCGTGTCGGTTTTTTGGGGTCGATGCGGAGTTGGGGGGACAGACGGGGACGGCGATCGCTTGGTTGAATGCGGGGTTGCAGGAGCTTGGGGTCGAGGGGAGAAGAGAAGAGAATAAAAAAGGGTTTGGGCTGGGGAGGTTGAGGAAGGAGTGGAGTGAGAAGAGGGAGGATCGGAAGGTGGAGAGGGAGGAGGATTGGGGGAGTGATGGGGGGAAGTTGGAGGAGACTAGGGTGATTGATATGCTTTTGGAGAAGTGGAACAAGATGAATGATACAGTGAGATTTACCGATGTTTCTATATTTACATCAGGGCATCTATTTGCTGACGATGAGATGCAGGTCTTGACGCAAGCTATCCCCCCAACCGGACCCCTCCTCGCAAAGATGCCTACCGGTCGCGAGATCCACTCCATCCAGCCTTTCCAGCCTCCCACGCTGGATAGGAACGCCTTGGACTCGATGAGTGTGCCACCCGAGCAGACGGATGACTTTGGCGGCGACATGCCTAGCTCGGATGATGAGACGCTCGTTGACGCATATCCTGGTTCTGCGGGCGATGTTGGAAGGAGTGCGAGCGCTAGTACTGGGTACTATTGAGGGGGAAGAAGATCCGAGAGATATCAATGTTTGTTAAATATAAATCCGGGACATGCCTTTCTTGGTCCTAGTGTCGTATAGCCCTTTCATAACGCTATTCCTATCTTAATACAAAAGAGAATCCCATAAACCCTCATGACGAATGGTACATAGCCCGAATATCCCAATCTCAACCCTCACTCGCATCGACAAAAGGATCATCTCCCTCCCCTTCCCCCTCCCGCCCAACAGAACCAACCTCCCCACCCCACTCAATCGCCTCCCTAACCATCGCCACCTCCAACGCATCATACCCCTCAAACCTCTCCCCAGCCTCAACCTCATCCGCCTCCATCTGCTCGAGCAATCTAACCCTCTCGGCCGCCACGGCCGCGAACCACTTCGGCCCCGCCTTCGCCCTGTCCCTTAACTCTTTTTCCTTCTTCCGATACTCCTCTTCTTTCCGGCGGCGGCGGGTGCCTAGTAGTTCCTCCTTGATGGCCCGCTCCTCCTCGACCGCGAACCGCGCCCTCTCGAGCTCTTCGTCGCGCCACGATTTCCAGGCGCCGTGCTGCGCGTCGAGACGCATGCGGAGCACGCGCATCGATTTCTCGACCTCGGCTTCCGTGTCCCCCGCGGAGATGCCTGCTTCTTTCCACGAGGTGTAGAAGGACATGAGACGCGCGTGATATTCGTCCTCAACGGCTCGTTCGAGCTCCACGCGCGCCGCGTACTCCCTCGTGAGCGTCACCTCCAAATCAGCGACACGCGCCAGTCCCAGGGCATCAAAGTCCGCCATCTCAGCCTTGCTATCCTCGCGCGCCTTTTCGAGAACAGAAGTGCGTTCGGCCTCGAGGGCTTCGAGGTCGCGGTCTGCTTCGAAGGCGAGCAGATCGCGCTGCTTATCGTGCAGATCGGAGAGGATGTCTCGCAGGTTAGAAAACTTCTCGCGGACTTCCTGCCGCCTCGCGTCTTCCTGGTGGATAAGCGCTGTGATCTCCACCTTCCTCCTGTCGGACTCTTGTCGCTCGCGCTCCATACTCTGCTTAATGGCCTCCAGCGCCTCCTCAAGCTCCAATTGCTCGATCCGCCTCAACGCCTCCGTCAGCTCCGTCTGTTCCTCCGCCTCCCTCGCAAGCCTCGCCTCCCTTCTACTCGCCGCCTGCGCCTTGAGTTCGTTCAACTGCTGCACCGTACAGGTACACGTCCTCCACACCCGCACGCAAACGTAGCAGAACTGGTATCCGCACCGACACGTCATATGCTGACACGCCTCCCTATGCTCCACCAGCGCATGACACTGCGCACACCTCTTCCACCCCTCCTCCTCAGCAAGTTCATTCGTCCTCGCCAGGTCCGCATCCTGCGGACAATCCGTCCCTTCATGCGCCTCCCCGCGACAGAAAGAACAGGTCTCGTGGCCCGCGGGACAGCGCGCCGTCGAGGTCCGCCCGTCGACGCGATCGGGCGGGATCCAGACGGCGCATTCGGGGTCGTGGCAGTAGATGCGGTCGCCGATGGGGGTGCGCCATTCGAGGGCGCGGGTCTCGAAGGTGGTGCGCAGGTCGGACTGGATGTATTGGTAAATTGTTTGGAAGGGGATTTCGTTGAGGCAGCATTTGGGGGGCCATTGTTGTTCGTTTTGGACGGCGGTGGAGATGAGGCGGGTGAAGCAGTCGCGGCAGTAGCTGTGGCAGGGGCCTTTGATCATTTCGCTGGGGAGGCAGTCGTCGAAGCAGGATATGCATTCACTATAGAAGAGTGTTAGTCTGAGTCAGACTCTGATGCCGATGGCGGGGATAAACGGGGGTTGACAAACATTGTGGTCGGACTCTCAGCGGTCTCGTCCTCTCCACCGGCGGCTTCTTCCTCCGTCGGATCTCGAGCTTCACTTTCATTCGCTTTGCCTTTGCCCTTTCCCGAGACGGTGCGCGAAGGGGGACCGGCGCCCGGACCCCTGACTGAATGTACGATAAAACTCCCCTGCGGCCGCTTCTTCTGAAGCAGCGCCGCGATGGCAGTGAGTTGCCGCAATCTCGTGTCCTTTGTGCTCTTGATGCTCTGCGTCTCGACGTCATGCTGCCCCGACCGACGATGGAAGATTTTTGCGGCGCCCATAGCGCTCGATTCCGCCCTCTCGCTAGCGCCCATACGGTTCAGGATGCGAGCTAATTTATGCTTGTGTCGTCTGTGCCCGCTGGACGGCCCAAGTGCCGGATCGCGACTCGAGCCGCTCATATCGGAGCTCGACCTTGCGGAGTCCACACCGGGCAGCCTTTCGACATCGAACGAATGCTTCGGGATTGGGACCTCCGGGGGAATGATGATCGGCAGGTAGTACTCCCCATCCTTTCCATTTAAGCTTTCCTTTTGCTTCTGCTTTGCAGCTTCGGCAGCTTCTTCTTCCGTCCGTCTCTGTTGGGCCCCCTCCTCTTCTTGTCTTGCCTTCTCGACCTCAGTAGCTCGTGCGCGGACGTTCTCTATGGATGTGCCTACGAGGTTGAGGATCGTCTCAGAAATGACGTGAGGGGCCTGCCACAGACAATTCGGAGGGGGATAGCGCATCCATGCATTTTCATCCTCTTCTTCGACGGGTTCGGGTGGCTCCTCGACCTTCTCTTTCCCTTTACCCTTGGTATCTGGTTCTTTCTCACTTGGCTCCTCTTTGGATTCTTCTTCGCCGGAGCCAGACGGCCCAGGGACCGGAGGCGGAGGCGGAGTGCGTGTGGGAGAAGGTGGCTTGTTCGGTGCTTTTCTTTTCCCGTCGAGAGCGCCCACGGGGGGCATAGGTAGTGGAGGGAGGGGCCAGTCGTCGAAGTCGGGTTGTGTGTAATATGTGGTGCGTTGTTCGGAGGGACCCGCTTCGGATTCCGAAGGCTCTGTGAGAAGAATGCGCAAATTATTGGACGGCGTCTTAGAGCTCTCTCCGTTTGAAGAAGAGGGGAGGATGGGCGCCTCTGCCTCGATCGTGATCATCGTGGTCGACTAAGGTAGTATTCGAGCAAGGATTTAGCGCGGTCTTTGGGTCGGGCCTGTGGTACCAATGCTCTCGATCTCGATATTCGTCAGACGGTGTCCTTGCAATGAAAGGTCTCTGTTTTTTTATTCCCTCCTTCTCAAGGCTCTCGAATTTAGGCACAAGCCTCTGAAATCATCATCAATAAGTGTCGAGGGCTTGAGCGCCGGCTAGCTATCGTGTGGTGGACAAGTCGACTCTCGATGTTAGTCGGGTCGTTTGGGTATGTTTCTCGTCCTAGATTGACGGAAGAAAAGGGTAGAAAATACAAATAAATAAAAATACAAATTGGGCAGGTACCAGAACGCAAAAGGTCGGGAAGAAGGTATATTCCCAAGCTCTCCTGTCTCCTGCTCGGAATGCTGAAAGGCATCTATTTCAACCTTGCCATGCTCTCAAGCTAGCTACGGCGGGGAGAATCCGCCCTGTGTCACGCCTTGCAACGATAGGCTATGACATTTCCTTGCGTCCTTGTTTGCTAGGGGTCCTGCAACAGGTCTAGCTTGCAGCGAGACCAGTTCCACCCCCTGCCGAGTCGGTCACGCAACACATGCCAGCATCTGTTTCCCTTCAGCTGGAGGCTTTTTGGGATCTGGAAGATGCAAGGAAGAACTGTCAGGGTCAAAGCCTCAATGTTAGTGCAGTTAGTGCTTCTCTTCCTGGGCAGGACCCCACTGTAGCTGGCTGAGTGCTGCTCCGCCACTGTTGGGGTTAGCACTAACACAATTGTACACTCAGGGTCGACGACTAAATTAGTCTATTTGTGGAGACGTTCGCTCGGGTCCTCTTGTTCGACTTTATCAGACGACAGGAGGCAGACCATCCGATGAGGAGGGAGCCTTGCGGCCGCTGTAATTGGTCGTAACAAGGGAGCAGAGCCACCCCAGGGAGAGACGGTCGCATCCGCTGTGTCGCCATTGCAGGCTCTGGGAGAGCGGAGTCTGGTCATCGGCTGCAGGCTGCAAGCGACCAGGAGAGCCCTATGTGTGGATTCCTCGAAGCGCGACGGAGGGTGCCTCTGGGGAGTCCAGGCTCTCGCACAGCGCTACAAAAATAGATAACGGCGCTAGAAGCATTGACCGAAGGGATGGTTACGGGTGACCACTGACGGGTGATGGAGTTGGCCGCCCATGGTTGTTGGTGGGTGAAGATTGGCGACGGTGGCTGTACATGCCGGCAACCGATGTTGATGTGCTAAAGAAGTTACATTTTGAGAGAGTTGCTGTTTTGGGCAAGTAAGCAGACAGAAGAGTGAATCCGAAGGCAGACAGACAAAACACGGGCAGAGAGAGACTGTGGAAATGGAAGAGAGCGAGCAGCCGCAGGATTCGAGGATTCGACCACTTCGGTGAGAGCGGCAACTGCTGGTCTTGGCTGGGCGAGACCAGGCAATGGGGTAACGGGTACCTGTGTACTTCGTACAATACGAAGTAGTATCCGTACAATTGGGCAGATCAAAGAGACACCAATTGATCAGTTGGAGTCAAAGTATTTGTACAATTGCACTTGGACTGGGCCCGGCTTACGAAGCACACAAATGGATCAATTCAAGACAATTGCCAGCAAGTGCGCGACTCCGCCCGATAATCGAGCATAATCGAGCACTGCGCAACTGCAGCTCGCTGAGTGACTTGATCCAGTTCAGTTGTCCTAATCCGACTCTCCCCAGACACTGATCAACCAATTGATCAATGATCTAATTGGTTTCCTGGGCTCTTGACATTATCAATTCGATGTGATCAAGTGTCCACCTCCACTTCCACTTCCAATCTTGCATCAACACTCCTGCTGTCGAATGGTCCTATTAGAATACTTCGTCTTCTTTTGGTACCTTTCTCCCTTAGAAAGGCGCAGTGTGGGATCAATGTGCGCTGCCAGAGGCGAATCAGAACATGGCTCTGTCGCCATCATTGCGTCGTGCTTCCTACTTCCTCCGGTCCTGCCCATTTCATCAATTTGCATATCAAGGTTACAACGTTGATAGGCTGAACAAGACATGTACGAAGCAAGGTCTGGAATCCTCCCCGAACAGCGGTCGAATCGTCCTCGAGTACAATCAGCCCTTGCGTCCCAGGCCGGAAATTTGACCACAGGATGTCGCACATACTAGTATCACTGGATGAAACACCGTTGTGGTTCTCTCATCGCTCAAGAGGGGATAAAGGCGACAGGCCTCGCAGGACACACTTGCGCCTCCTGCGTTAGCCCGCCTCTGCCCTGGCAACTTGGCCACTTTCCTATCACACTCATCCTCACTACATCGAGATTATCTTCATGTCATATATACGGCCAGACCCAGCCGCGGTTGCGTTGAACCGTTCCCAATCTTCCCCCGTGGGATGTTTCTGTCATTCCCTCCCTAGTCCTTCCGAGATACTAATCGCCTGTTGCACTCCCTTCATCCGTTCCGCTCATGACCTTTCGAATATGTATAGCAAACTGTGCTATTGACCCGATGCCCTGTTCTGGGTCATTTCGAATCCTTGCGTCTTCGTTCCCTTTTCTCGTACCCGTCCCAGATGCGCACAAACTCCGGTTCGGGGAAGACTGTTGATTGAAAGCTGCATGCAACATTTGCCTCCTTTGCGCTGGTTCGATGTACCGTCACATCGATGAAGCAAGCAGTAGGGATGATGACTCGGTGAACGATTGGAAATGAAGCGATGCCGACAGGTTGACAAGCCTGACCCTCTGGAGTCTGGAGCGAGCTAACATGGATCCATTGCATCATCTGGGCTGGCCCTGGTCCAGGTTCATTCCTTCCTGCAAGTGCTATAAGATTAGGGATCCCTAATATTATTATAACTTCGGACCTGCGAAGAAAAACCTCTTCGCTTCGTACTGACGAATAGTCTCGGGTCTTGGGGATGAAAAGGGATGGGCAGGGCACGCCCCTGAACACGACCGGGGAACGACATCAATTGATCAATCCCGTTCCTTTCCGCACACCATTTAGCCCCCCCCCCCCCCCGAGACTTACATCCTGGTGAGTGCCAGAGTGGTGACTCCTGATCGATGCGCCCTCATCCGATAACAGCCTCTTCCCGTCCTTCGGTCCGTGATTTTAATCCTTGCCCACAACGTGTGAAAGCTCGGGCGTGAAGTGGACAGACAGCCAGACAGCCAGACAGCCAAGACCAGACCGCGATCCCAAACTTCACCGGCGACGCCACCCCGCGTGGTCGCTGACCAGTGACAGCTCTCGACGCTCTCACGCAAGCAAGCGCTGCGACTTCTCGAATAATTCAAAAGCAAGAAAACTAATTAATTAGAGACGCGCCTCGAAGCGCGATGGAGCGAGATTCTCGCGTCAAAGCCTGGGCGGGCGAGTTGATCTTAATTTTCGAACGGGCGAAGAAATGCAGAGGACGAGAATGGATTGGGTAAAAAGAACGGTAATAAAGAATCTCCGAAGCAATAACGTATTACTTCGTAGTGTAGAACTTTTCTGGCGTGAGCCAGACGGGATGGAAATATCACACGAGAGATGTCTTGAGGTTCCTATAATAACACCGTCCGCGTTGCATTCGCAAGAGAGTCGCCGAAAGAACTCGTACCAAGTTTCTGGCATGACCAGAACTAACCTTTCAAGGAAAGGACTCGAGATTCGGCAAGCAATATTGAAGAGAGTGAGACCACAACGGTGCTCCTCGATTTTACTCACCGGGCCTTGCGGGCAATACCCGGTTCGAATTTTCAGCCCCCATTCCCAAGCTTGGGGACTGGCTCGCGTCCAGATCCCGAACGTTCTTAACTGCTCTCTTAACCCGCCGGGGATATTTCCAAAGCGGAGAGGGAAAATTTTTCTTTTGTGGAGCGTGGGGGAGGATCCTTGATATAGCAAATATATAACAGATGCATTTATAGACCACTCTCATCTCATGTTCCATATAGTGTGTTCTATATCGTGCAGCATTAATACCTGTTTCTCTGGCTTTTAGGGCGACCCGCGCATCACCTTCCGCTAGCGGTCCCGGGCTCCCCCGTTCGATGAACCCGGATTAAGGAGATTGACCACACACGCATGCCCGGGTCCCGCGGATGAGACCACCCGATGCGACGTCAACTCCATGATATCGCTGCCTAGACATCCAAGGTGGAGCGGAGATGAAAAGAGGCTCGCAAAAAAAGAAGAAAAACTTTTACAAGTTGCTCACCACTTACTTCGTAAATGATGGTCATGTCGCAACCAAACTTTAGTGATCTCTAGTATACCCCGTTCCTGTCTTCCTCTTCTTGGCACGTCATTTCCCGGCCCCCATTCTCTCGTCCACCCGTTTAACGGTTATCAGCCCAGAAGGAAGAAAGAAAATGAGTTGGCAGCTTCTGCCCTCCATCCCAACGCTTCGATTTTATCATCACATATAGATACGCGGGGGAAAGGGGGCCAAGGAAGCTAACGCCCCTTGAACCATGCAAGCAAGAGGCAACGGAACATGGTGCCGGACACTAGCTATAAGTCTTATGCGAGGAAGAAAATTGGGCTGCATACCCATGAGGAAGCTTCACACACACACACACACGCCCGCCGTAAAATCTTTTTCTTTGCTCTGCTTCTTGTTTTTTTCTCTTCCCACTCGACCCTGGTCCCTAGCTCTTCATTCCCTGAGAGACTCGTGGCCCGTCCCGTTCGGTGGGGCGACGAGGTTTGCTGTATCGTTGCAAGACTCCTTACGCTAGTTGGAATAATATACCACTTCGTACTTCCTTCCACTGCCGCTGGGAAGGACCTGGATATTAAGGTAGAGTTGCAGGTCTAGGCTGGTTTTAAAATGAGAGCCGGCCCTCCCCATATTGCTGGATAGTTGGAGGTTTGGGGACCTTGAGAGAATGGTCGTTTTCAAGTTGATATAACTCCCCTGACCAACCTGCGCCTAAGGCTCCTCTTTCCTTCTCCCGTCAAAGCCCTTTGAGTTAGTTGTATTCCACGTCACTCGAATATCTCATTCACATGCTCTGC